GTCCAATATCCAAAATCTAAGTACATATTAGAATCAGCATATCCAAGAAACCCAAGAATTCAATTTTTGATGAAATCAGACAAAAGTTTAATTTAGGACCCTTTGGACCTCAATGTGGACCAATTTGATAAAGGAGCCCACAATTCAAAATCTCTCAATACATGGTTAGATTCAGCATTTCAAAGAACCCCATAAATTCAATTTTTGTTGAATCAAACAAAGTTTAATTTTGGATCCTGATTTGGACCAACTTGAAAACTAGACCCAAAAATCTAATATCTAAATACAGGTTTAGATTCAGCATTTGAAAGAACCCTATATATATATTTAATTTATGTTGAAATGAAACACAGGTTAATTTTATCCATAATATTTTCTGTGCAAAGGGAAGTAACTCAAACTTGATAAAATTTTTCTAAAATAAGATATGATGCAATTTTTTAAATTATAATCAATAATATAATAACAACAACCAGTGATGACTTAGTTCTCTAAAATTAGATATGATTTAACACTCAAACATTGTTAGAATCAGCATATCAAAGAACCAAAGAATTCAATGTTTGATGAAATTAAATAAAAGTTTAATTTAGGACCCTTTGGACCTCAGTGTGGTATTATCTTATTAATAATGAACAGAAATACAGGTTTAGATTAAGCATTTCAAAGAACCCTATATTTATTCAATTTATGTTGAAATCAAACACAGTTTAATTTTGGACCCCGATTTGGACCAACTTGAAAACTGGGCCCAAAATCAGAAATCCAAATATATGTTTATTACAGTACAACCTGTGACTTCCTCTTAGTTATGTCCACCCTCTTGTATGGTCACCATCGAATGGTGGCCATTTGTTGGGGTATTCAATCTTGAAATGTTGGCCATTTATTGGGGTCATAAAACATAGGTTGATGTTTTATCTAATCATGTTATCTGTTGAAATCAATCAGGGTTGAAGTTTTCAGCTTGTATGTTTCATTAAAATTTACCTGTACAGGTAACTCAGGTTTCTTCTCAAATTGACATTTCACCTTTTCTTGAAAATGTAGATTAGAATGTTGTTTTAGTCTTTGTTAATTCATATCAATTGTTGATTTTTCTGTCTTTAAATTTACATATTTTCCTTTCTTTCTAATGTTTTTATTTTTTTATGTTATTTTTTATTTGTTTTTTTGCTTCTATTCTTTTAATTTCTTCTAGGAAATAATCTTGAGTAGAAATGACAAAAATTCAAAGATGAGTTATTGACTAGCATTTGAAAACAAAACAGAGAATCCTTTAAATAATATTTTTTTCGGTAAAAAAAAGTTATTGTACATGATGTACATGGTATTCAATGTCTGCGTGTATTATTTAATGAATTATTATTAATTATAACTTATAATCATGCAAATGATATGTTTAAAGGAACCATAAAGCAAGTAATTTAACAAGCCTGTTTTTTAACAAATTAAAATTATCAATATCATGAATATCAAGCCTTTTACAATAAATTTTGTTAACAAAGTTGTACAATCTATTATCATGATTATTATTCAGGAAAACTACAAATATCATTATATGGTATAGGAATAAACTATTTTTGTTTATCTTTTATATTTTTCAAATCTCAAAACTGGAGTTGTGCATGAAGAATCACTAAAGAGACTTTAATTTTCCAAATGGCTACCTAGTTATCATCAACTTTGATAAATGCCAATCATAATGAAAAATGTTCTTATCTCTGAATTAAATAAATCTTATGAAAAGAAATTATTTAAAGAAAAAATTGTCTTGCTTTTTGAAACAATTGTCAACTTATCAAATATGTTATCTTCAGTTTGTCTATTTTTGTCAGTTAACAGGCAAAATTTGTCTCCAGAAAAAATAAAGAACACTTCTATATAGATTGTGACATTTTTATGGTCTATTAATTAAATCCTTTTTTGTTCTGTGTATTATAGTGTCAAAACTGCAAGACTGGCATATGCATGATACATATTCTTGGTATACATCTGCAAAGAATATTTCACTCAACTCAGGCCTTTTAGATAAAGCTAATAATTGCAGGGACTTAAATGAATTAGATTCTTTAAAGCTCTTGATTAAAAATGAATTTTAAGAACAAAAATAAGAATATTTTGAAAATAAAATAAAAACTTCTGATGAAAACAGTAAACTCAAATGCTTCAAGAATTAGTGGTCATAATTTAGAAATAGAAAATGGTAGATAAAAATTCCTATAAAGGATAGAATTGTTTGTAAAATTAACATAACAACTTAGAGATAATCTATTTGAAAATTGTTTACCTTCTCATAATAATGTCTCTGACCAGTTTGTGAATAAAATCTTGAATCTTATGAATAAAATCTTAACCAAAAACAAAAAGTAAAAGAAATGCTAAACCTCTATAACATGGAACATGTTTAAAATATTGGCTCCTTTATAAAAAAAAAATAAAAATCATTAGAACTGAGGGCAGAAACCTAATAATTTTTTTCCATGTGTTTTGATTTTTATAGAATTGTTATTTCTTTGCATTATAATGTTTGTTTTTGTTTTTTTTCGTCAGAAACTTGATTAAATTGTAATATGTTTATATGACAATAAAAATATTATCAAATTTTTCTGTAATGAATATTTTGAATATACATGTATTTATTCAATAGAGAAATAATGAATTGCCTAAATTTTATTTAGAATAAGTCCTAAAAACAATGTTAAATGCAGTTAGTATAAACAATTTTGATTTTAGAAAATTAATCAGAGAAACACCTTTTTGATGGAAAAAAGCAGGCGTTGTGAAAGTTTGCATTATAGTAGAAGATGATATTCATTTATTATTCACTTGCCTAAATATACATGTAAAAAATAACTTAAATTGATAGAATTATTTAAAAGGTATAACATCAAAACAAACAGTCATGAGAAAATGTTTACAAAAGTTAGGAAGCTATATGTTCAACTAGTTTTATTATTTTAGAATTTTCTTGTCATAATCACAGTTATTAAATTTGACAAACACATATATTTTACCTGAGACACTTTACCTGTAAGTTATATAATTTTAACACTTCAATGCAGTCATGATTTCCCTTTATACTTGACTAGTTCTTGATAAATACCTTGTGTATTAATTAAGCAACAGGAGGTATAATGATGGACATTTAGGGCCATCATGGTGACCATATTTTTTATGGCCACCATTAGTAAGATAATGTCACAGGTAGTACTGTAATAAACAATATAAGCTTAGTTTTTAAAGGAGTTCACTTCATCAAAAAAAAATATATAGCATTCAGAAAATTAGTTTTTACAGAATAACAAACAAACTTGCCACAAAATTCTTCAAACAATTTATCAAAGAAAAGAAGGAAAAAATCCAAAATCTTATTTATCATTCATACAATGTCTTTTCAAAATCTATAAAACTTATCAGTAACAAGAAATAATTGTAACAGGATGCTGTTACGAAGTCTCCCAAACAAAGCTCCAATAATTCGTCATTCCCATGATCGCCTGACATTGGGCAAAGTCCAGTACAAATTGGTTTGTGATATGCATAAGTGACGCCTATGGGTTGACCCTGTATGTCATTCAAATCTTCTTGAAATGACGAACAGGAATATATATGGTTGTTAAGGGTTGGAGATCTAGACCGTTTACAAGTTCTCAAAAGGGGGGTGTGTGATCCCCAGGGGACTCACCCTTTATTTCATATGATTTGTTTTTTTTGTCACATACAAGAATATATATGGTTTAGGGGTGGGGATCTCAACCGTTTACAAGTTCTTAAACAGGAGGGGGTGGGGTGACCCCAGGGGACTCGCCTTTTATTTCATTTGATTTGTTTTATTGTCCCATACAAGAATATATATGGTTTCGGGGTGGGGATCTTGACCGTTTACAAGTTTTTAAAAAGAAGGGAGTGGGGGTCACCCCAGGGGATTTCCCCTAAATTTCATTTGATTTGTTTATTTGTCCCATAGAATATATATGGTTTGGGGGTGGGGATCTCGACCGTTTACAAGTTTTCAATAAAATGCTTCGCTGAGCGCAGCTGGATACAACCGCAGAGGTCCAACCCTGAACAGTTGGGGCAAAAATGGACAAAATATTCGTGCTCGATACAGGTCTGAATTTGGATTGTAATTAAATATTTGACACATACTAGGTTTCTGACACAGAATAAGTGTAGTCAAAGAACTTAAAATTGGTTATATGATTTGAATTTATATTCAATTTCTTGCTTTTGTGCAATACACTATGCTGTTGAATATTAACCCCCCCCCCTAAAAAAAAAAAATTTCTGAAATCTGAAATGAGAAAAATTGTACCCCCCCCCCCCCCCAAATTCTTATTTACCCCCCCCCCCCCCCCCTCCCCTCCCAAATTTTTTTCAACTCACCCTTTCCCTTATTCTAAAAATAATCTCAATTCAAATTTCCAATGGAATTTGCAACCATAATTACCCATTTAAATTTACCATAGTGCTAACTTAATCTATTTAATAATAGAATTTAAAATATGGTGTCAAATCTTTCATATGGATTTTTTGGTAAAAATAAAAAGATGCAACATTTGCAGATATTTTTACTGGTCTTCCTTTATAAATATGCATTTCTTTAAACATAATTTAAAAGCAGTGTAAGGGAAGTAATCAAAACGTTGTATGTGGATTACCTCCCTATATCCATGGGCGCAGCTTGATACGACCGCAGAGGTCCAACCCTGAACAGTTGGGGCAAGTATGGACACAACATTCAAGCTTGATACAGCACTGCATTTGGATTGTGATTAAATATTTAACCCAGCATAGGTTTCTGACACAGAATGAATGTGGTCTAAGAACTTAAAGATTTTTAATTTACCTTTTCAAACCATATCATAATTATTTGCTTTTATATATAAATCAGAAATACCCAATTTAAAATGGAAAATTTTAAAGAAAAAAAAAAATCCCCACCGCCAATTTTTTGAACCCCCTTATGATTCATCATCCCCAATCTCAATCCCAAGCCTTCCCTTTGTGGTATGGTACCTTGCAGTACAATTTCAGAGAGATCCATACACTTGAACACAAGTTATTGTCTGGAAACTAGAAAAATGCTTGTTTTTTGCCCCCAAATTCCTAAACGTTTAGGGCAATTACATTACCCCCAAACTCAAACCCAGCTTTCCCTTTGTGATATTGAACCTTGTCGTACAATTTCATAAAGATCCATACACTTACACCCTAGTTATTGTCCTGAAACTAGAAAAATGCTTGTTGTTTTGCCCCTTTTTGGCCCCTAATTCCTAAAATTTTGAGGCAATTACCCCCAAAATCAATCCCAGCCTTCCCTTTGTTGTATGGTACCTTGCAGTACAATTTCAGAGAGATCCATACACTTGAACACAAGTTATTGTCTGGAAACTAGAATAAAATGCTCCGCTGGGGCGCAGCTTGATACGACCGCAGAGGTCGAACCCTGAACAGTTGGGGCAAGTATGGACACAACATTCAAGCTTGATACAGCACTGAATTTGGATTGTAATTAAATATTTGACACAGCATAGGTTTCTGACACAGATCGAATGTGGTCTAAGAACTTAAGAAATTTTAATTTACCCATTCAAACCATATCATTATTATTTGCTTTTAATTTTATATATAAATCGGAAATAACCAATTTAAAATGGAAAATTTTAAAGAAAAACTAGAGGCTCTCAAGAGCCTGTGTCGCTCACCTATATTTACTGATGCTTTGGAAATCATGTAAAATAAGGTTAAAATCATAATTAATAGTATTAGATATTAGATATTATAATGATATCTAAGATAACAAAAAACTGCAAAACAAACTCAGGGGCTGCAACCCAACAACGGGTTGTCGGATTCGTCTGAAAATTTCAGGGCAGATAAATCTAAATCTGATGAACATTTTTGCCACCTGTCAGATTTGCTCTAAATGCTTTAGTTTCAGAGATAAAAACCAAAAACTGCATTTTACCCCTATGTTCTACTTTTAACCAAGTCGGCCATGATGGTTGGAAGGCGGGGTCATCAGACAAATTTTTTAAACTAGATACCCTTATAATGATTATGGCCAAGTACGGTTAAATTTGTCTCAGTAGTTTCAGAGAAGAAGATTTTTGTAAAAGATTACAAAAATTTACGAAAAATTGTTAAAAATTGACTATTAAGGGCAATAACTCCTAAAGGGATCGACTGACAATTTTGGTCATGACGACTTATTTGTACATATTACTTTGCTGAACATTATTGCTGTTTACAGTTTATCTCTATCTATTATAATATTCAAGATAATAACCAAAAACTACAAAATTTCCTTAAAATTACCAATTCAGGGGCAGCAACCCACAAACAGGTTGTCAGATTTGTCTGAAAATTTCAGGGCAGATAGATCTTGACCTGATAATCAGTTTAACCCTATGTCAGATTTACTCTAAATGCTTTGGTTTCAGAGATATAATCCAAAATCTACATTTTACTCCTATGTTCTATTTTTAGCCATGGCGGCCATCTTGGTTGGTTGGCGGGGTCATCGGATACATTTTTTAAACTATATACCCTAATGATGATTGTGGCCAAGTTTGGTTAAATTTGGCCTATTGGTTTCAGAGGAGAAGATTTTTGTAAAAAGCTAACGATGACAGACGACGACGACGACGACGGACGAAGGACGACGGACGCCAAGTGATGAGAAAAGCTCACTTGGCCCTTTGGGCCAGGTGAGCTAAAAAAGGAAACCCCCCCCTAAATTTTTAAAGCCCCTTATGATTCCTCACACCCAAACTCAATCCCAGCCTTACCTTTGTGGTATGGTACCTTGCAGTACAATTTCAGAGAGATTCATACACTTGAACACAAGTTATTGTCTGGAAACTAGAAAAATGCTTGTTTTTTGGCCCCAAATTCCTAAACGTTTAGGGCAATTACTCCCAAACTCAAACCCAGCTTACCCTTTGTAATATGATACCTTGCAGTACAATTTCATAAAGATCCATACACTTACACACAAGTTATTGTCCTGAAACTAGAAAAATGCTTGTTTTTTTTGCCCTTTTATGGCCCCTAATTCCTAAAATTTTGAGGGAATTACCCCCAAAATCAATCCCAGCCTTCCTTTTTTGGTATGGTACCTTGCAGTACAATTTCAGAAAGATCCATACACTTGAACACAAGTTATTGTCTGGAAACTAGAAAAATGCTTATTTTTGGCCCCTTTTTGGCCCCTTATTCCTAAACGTTTTGGGCAATTACCCCCCAAACTCAATTCCAGCTTTCCCTTTGTGATATGGAACCTTGTAGTACAATTTCATAAAGATCCATACACTTGAACACAAGTTATTGTCATGAAACTAGAAAAATGCTTGTTTTTTGCCCCTTTTTGGCCCCTTATTCCTAAAATTTGGAGGCAATTGCCCCCAAAATCAATCCCAGCATTCCCTTTGTGATATGGAACCTTGTGGTACAATGTCAGAGATATCCATACACTTACACACAAGTTATTATCATGAAACTAGAAAAATGCTTGTTTTTTGCCCCTTTTTGGCCCCTAATTCCTAAAATTTGGAGGCAATTACCCCCAAAATCAATCCCAGCATTTCCTTTGTGATATGGAACCTTGTGGTACAATGTCAGAGAGATCCATAAACTAACACACAAGTTATGTCTGGAAGTTACAAAAATGCTTATTTTTGGCCCCTAATTCCTTAACTGTTGGTACCATAACCCCTAAAATCAATCCCCACCTTCCTTTTGTGGTATTGGACCTTATGGTAAAATTTCATAGAGATCCATTCACTTAAACTAAAGTTAGAGTGCGAAAACCAATGTGTCTTCGGACGACGACGACGCCAACGTCATACCAATATACGACTTCAAAATTTTTTTGCAGTCGTATAAAAATGCTTATTTTTGGCCCCTTATTTCTTAACGTTTTGGGCAATTACCCCCAAACTCAATTCCAGCTTTTCCTTTGTGATATGGAACCTTGTAGTACAATTTCATAAAGATCCATACACTTGAACACAAGTTATTGTCATGAAACTAGAAAAATGCTTGTTTTTTGCCCCTTTTTGGCCCCTTATTCCTAAAATTTGGAGGCAATTGCCCCCAAAATCAATCCCAGCATTCCCTTAGTGATATGGAACCTTGTGGTACAATGTCAGAGAGATCCATACACTTACACACAAGTTATTATCATGAAACTAGAAAAATGCTTGTTTTTTGCCCCTTTTTGGCCCCTAATTCCTAAAATTTGGAGGCAATTACCCCCAAAATCAACCCAAGCATTCCCTTTGAGATATGGAACCTTGTGGTACAATGTCAGAGAGATCCATACACTAACACACAAGTTGAGTCTGGAAGTTACAAAAATGCTTATTTTTGGCCCCTAATTCCTTAACTGTTGGTACCATAACCCCCAAAATCAATCCCAAACCTTCCTTTTGTGGTATTGAACCTTATGGTAAAATTTCATAGCGATCCATTCACTTAAACTTAAGTTAAAGTGCGAAAACCAATGTGTGACTGTCTTCGGACAACAACGACGACAAAGTCACACCAATATACGACAGCAAAATTTTTTTGCAGTCGTTTAAAAATTCAGCAGTTTTTCCGCTTGTGAGGAGCATAACTCTAGAACAGTAAAATTGACGCCAACAAATGTCACACTGGACCTGAGTTTTGTGGTAATAAGCATTAAGTTTCATAACATTTGTTTGAGGCAAACTAAAGTAAGGGAACAGAAAATACAGCAATTTTTCCATTTGTAAAGGGACACAACTCAAGAACAGTAAAAGTGACAATATCCAAATTCAACTTTAATCAGTGTTTGGGTTAATAAGCTTTGTGTATAAGTCAGACTTGGGGTCAATTACATTGAAATGTAATTAATTAAATTACACATTCCATTGCAAAAATGATCAATTACACTAGTTAATAAAAATTACACAGTTTTTCTAGTTTCATGACAATAACTTGTGTTCAAGTGTATGGATCTTTAAGAAATTGTACAAGGTTCCATATCACAAAGGAAAAGCTGGAATTGAGTTTGGGGGTAATTGCCCAAAACGTTTAGGAATAACGGGCCAAAAAGGGGCCAAAAATAAGCATTTTATACGACCGCAAAAACATTTTGAGGTCGTATATTGGTATGACGTTGGCGTCGTCGTTGTCCGAAGACACATTGGTTTTCGCACTCTAACTTTAGTTTAAGTGAATGGATCTCTATGAAATTTTACCATAAGGTTCAATACCACAAAAGGAAGGTGGGGATTGATTTTGGGGGTTATGGTACCAACAGTTAAGGAATTAGAGGCCAAAAAGGGGCCAAAATAAGCATTTTTGTAACTTCCAGACATAACTTGTGTGTTAGTGTATGGATCTCTCTGACATTGTACCACAAGGTTCCATATCACAAAGGGAATGCTGGGATTGATTTTTGTGGTAATTGCCTCCAAATTTTAGGAATTAGGGGCCAAAAAGGGGCAAAAAACAAGCATTTTTCTAACTAAAGTAATTGATTAAATTACACATTACATTTCATCATAACTTTTTTTAAACAATATATAGCATGTGTAAAATATTCATGTATGCTTACAGCATAGTTTTAGCATTGCATTTGATCATCATTAGTATTTTTAATGTCTTCTATCATCACATCTTATGATCTAGCAATACCTGCCACATCAGCTCCTGTCGAAACAAAGTGTTCAGACAGGAGCTGATGTGGCAGGTATTGCTATATCATAAGATGTGTTGATAGAAGAGGGAATGTGTTCCTATTAACTTCCCAATACATTAAGGGGTATTTTGAAAACTCAGAAATGAAGCCATTTAATTAAACATAATATAAATAAATAAATTATAAATAAATTAAAAAATTGTCCATGTTTTTTACTTTACAATTATCATGATTATTCAAAAGTATGCTTGTCACTAGATTGAAAATAATTTTTTAGCACAAACAATGTATAATGTCTCAATATTAGCAATATTTTGCTAATTAGATAAAATACATGTATTGGTGGCATTGTCCCTAGGCTGTTTTATTACACATTTAGTCTGATTAATTGCCATTTGTTTTTACAGCTGATAATTTTAATTCTATAATCCTTTTGTGTATACTAATTTGACAAAATGATTGTGTGCAGTGATTTAAAATTCTAAATGAACTGTCTAAGAAAGATATATACATTTGTTTAACAATACATACATGTACATGTGTATTTTGATCATATGAATATATACATGTTATCAATCTATTTAGATAAAGATCTTTCTTAAAAACTGAACAACACCAATATATGATTCTCACATTTTTTTAAGTTATAAGACTATTTAGAAAACATTTCTGTATGTCAAATAAATAATATTTATATTAACACAATTTCTTATCATTAACATGATTAACACCATAAAAGTACATGTAATTGAAATGTAATTCAAAAGTAATTTAGCATTACATGCTTTCTTCATTGTAATTAATTAAATTACCATTACATGTAATTGAAAAAATGCTCAATTACACATTACATTCAAAGACATGGAAAATTGTAATGCATTACACTTGATAACAATTTATACATTTTCAATTACCCCATCCCTGGTACAAGTTACATCACATTTGGTTGAGGCAAACTTAATTAAGAAAACGGAAACAAAAAATTCAACAATTTTTCCATTTGTAAAGGGGCATAACTCTAGAATGGTAACAGTGATGCCAACAAAAATTCAAACTTGATCTTTTTTATTGTTGTAATATTAGCATTGTGTATAAGTTTCATAACATTTGATTTGGTTGTTTTCTAGTTTTGTCATTTAGGCTTATTATATAAGTCTTTTGTGTGTTTATCTTTGAACTATGACATACAAAATGTCAACTCGGAAATATAAAATGTAAAATTGATAAAATTCTTGAGGGAGCTTACATCAACAGATATAAACAATACACCAAAGTTTCATTAGAACTGCTGAAAGCATTTTTGAGTTATTGTCCGATAACTGGAAAATCCACCTTTTTTATTAACAATAAACTGTTATCACAGAGATATGTCTCGCTTTTTCATAATTTTGATTATGCAAATATTGACATTAAAATAACAATACTTAACATTTTACATAAGTTAGGCAAACATTCAAAGTCAACGAACCATGACTGAGGTACATGGCTAAACAATCTCCATGTAAATGAGATGTGCCATTGCTTATGCAACTGCATACCAAATATCATTGACTTATTATAAGTCGTTCCCTTTAAACAAACCTTAACAAAAACAGAAACTTGTAAACTATGCAAAAGTTTCAAAGTCAATGAACCATGAAGAGAGGGTGGAGCTATAAAATCTCCATGGAAACGATACTTAAAAATGCCAATAAATTTGCATACCAAATATCATTGACTTAACATTAGCAGTTCATCTTAAACTGATCTAATCACAAACTAATACATGTAAACTAAGCAAAAGTTTCAAGTCGATAGACCATGAGTCCATGACTGAGGGGAAGGGGCCAAATATTCTCCATGGAAATGAAATGTGCTAATACTTATACAACTGAATACCAATTAAAATTGGCCTACCACTAATAGTTCCCCTTTAACTGACCTAATCACAAGCTAATACATGTTAACTAAGCAAAATTTTCAAGTCGATAGACCATGAGTCCATGACTGAGGGGAAGGGGCCAAATATTCTCCATGGAAATGAAATGTGCTAATACTTATACAACTGAATACCAATTAACATTGGCCTACCACTAATAGTTCCCCTTTAACTGACCTAATCACAAACTAATACATGTTAACTAAGCAAAATTTTCAAAGTCAATAGACCATGACCAAGGGGCGGAGTCAAATAATCTCCATGGAAATGAGATATGCCAATGCTTATACAACTGCATACCAAATATCATTGACCTACCACTAGTGGTTCCCCATAAACTGACCTAATCACAAACTAATACATGTAAAATAAGCAAAAGCTTCAAAGTCAATAGACCATGACTGAGTGGGCAGGGCCAAATAATCTCCATGGAAATGAGATGTGCCAATGCTTATACTGTGAACTGCATACCAAATATGATTGACCTTCAACTTGTGGTTCCCCACAAACTAGACCTAATCACAAACTAATACATTGTTGACACCGCCGCCGCCGACTCCGGAAACAGCATACCTATGTCTCGCTTTTTGACTCCGCCAAGCGAGACAATAAAACCCTGTAACTTGGAAACGTAAAATCTAAAATTTTAAAAAAATAGAAAGGGAGCTCATGTCAATAGATATAAACAACTCACCAAAATTTCTTGCAAGTTGGTGAAAGCATTCTTGAGTTATTATCAGAAAACTGGAAAATCCCCCTTTTTTTAATGAATAAAACCGATAACTCGGAAAATTAAAATCTAAAATTTATAAAAAACGAAAGGAAACTCACGTCAATAGATATAAACAATTCACCAAAGTTTTATGCAAATTTATTAAAGTGTTTTTGAGTTAATGTCAGACATGTTGACGAAGGTCGGACGGACAGAGGTATACCATAATAGTAATACGTCCCGTAAAATCCAGATTCAAAATACCTGGTTAAATTCAGCATATTAAAGACCACCAGAATACAAGACTGAATAAAAACCCAATTGAAATTGTTAAAAAAATAATCAATTGATACAAATAATTATAAACTGCTTCGCTGAGCGCAACTGGATACGCCTGCAGAGGTCCAACCCTGAACAGTTGGGGCAAAAATGGACACAATATTCAAGCTTGATACAGGTCTGAATTTGGATTGTAATTAAATATTTGACATATTATAGGTTTCTGAATAAATGTAGTCAAAGAACTTGAAATTGGTTATATGAATTGAATTTATATTCAATTAAAGATTTCTTGCTGTTGTGAAATACTTAGTAAATCTGTTGTCAGACTATAAACAAATAAAGTTCAATTACTTCTCAATGTCATATTAGAAATTTATGAAAATCAAAAGGGAGCTTACATCAATAGATATAAACAATTCACCAAAGTTTCATGAGAATTGGTGACAGCATTTTTTTTGGAGTTATTGTCCGAAAACTGGAAAATCAACCCCTTTTTTAATGAATAAAACCCCATAACTCAAAAATGTAAAATGTAAAATTTATAAAATTCTAAACAGAGCTTACATCAATAGATATAAACAATTCACCAAAGTTTCATAAGACCTGCTGAAAGCATTTTTGATTTTTTGTCCGAAAACTGGAAAATCCCCCTTTTTTTATGAATAAAACCCTGTAACTTGGAAACATAAAATCTAAAATATATAAATATCAAAAGGGAGCTCATGTCAATAGATATAAACAATTCACCACAATACTTGCAAGTTGGTGAAAGCATTCTTGAGTTATTTTCCGAAAACTTGAAAATCCCCCTTTTTTTAATGAATAAAACCTCATAACTTGGAAAAGTAAAATCTAAAATTTATAAAAAACGAAAGGGAGCTCATGTCATTAGAAATAAACAATTCACCAAAGTTTTATGCAAATTGGTTAAAGCGTTTTTGAGTTAATGTCCGACATGTTGACGACGGACAGACAGACGAACGGACAGACGGACAACGGTATACCATAATACGTCCCGTAAAAGGGCGTATAAAAAGATATTGTTTTTGGCTTCTTTTTTCTTAAACCTGTAGGGTCAGAATGCCCTAACAATCCCCCTACGTTCTTTTTACCGTTTTAAACCTTGTGGTACAATTTCATAGCAATCCTGAGACTAATATTCAAGTAATTGTCCACAAACCATAAAATTCTTGTTTTTTTACCCCTTTTCGGCCTTTAATTTCTAATCGGTTTAGGCCACGACCCTCAACATTCTTTTTGGTATAGAACCTTGTGGTAAAATTTCACAGAGATCCATACACTAATACATAAGTTGTTGTCCTGAAATAAGAAAAAAATGCTTGTTTTTGGCTCCTAATTCCTAACAGCAATGACAATAAACCCCAAAATCAAAATAAACCTTCCTTGTGTAGTATATATATATATGGAACCTTTTTGGCTTGTGCTACAATTTCAATTTCATAGAGATCCTGTAAACCAAAATGTATAGGATGACAAATGTCTTCGGATGACAATTTGATACGCCACAGACATCGCCATGACATAATTATGATAATATGAACGCAAAAAAATTTGTATATAGACGTAAGAAAGTTAAACTTACGCTCATTATATCCATCTAAGCTGATTGACTTAAAAAGTGTACCAAAACTGCAGGTAAAAGTTGAGTTCCAATCAGCTTTTGTAAGATTTCTCAGCATGATGGAATTCTTATGTTCAGACTGCTCCATCATTGTTATATCCCTGTTTCCGACAATATGATTATTGTGTGTAAGTACTATTTTATTTTGACCTCCTATCCATTGCTTGTTCCCCTTGCATTCCTCGTTGCATTTCAACATACATTCCTTGCTGCATTTCGACATGCATTCAATGTTGCATGAACATTCACATTCCAGTATCAAATTGGCCCAAGCTTTGACAGATTTGATATTAAAACATCTTTCATCTAAAATCAAAATATGTAAAAAATGTGGATAGTGTCCACATGTGGACACAGATGATGCCCCCGCTTGCACATCATATAGTTATAATGGGACATAACTGAAGAACGGTAAAAGTGATGCTACCCAAATTTGAACTCGATCTGAGATTTGTGGTTATTAGCATTGTGTGTAAGTCTCATAACATTTGGTTGAGGCTAACTTAAGTAGAGAACATAAACTAAAAATTCAGCAATTTTTCTATTTGTAAACACGCATAACTCTAGAAAGGTTGTGTATAAGTTTTATAACATTTGGTTGAGACAAACTAAAGTTAGAGAACGGAAACGAAAAATTCAGCAATTTTTATGTTTATATAGAGCGGACACGATCTTTACCATAGGACATGGAGTTGTAAACTAAAACCAAAATTTTTGACCTAGGAAGTTGTTCATACATTATGACACACCCTCTGGTGTTGGTTAATATACATGTCAAGTATAAACTTTGAAATCCTAGCGGTTCTCTAGATATAGAGCGGACACAATTTGTTAAGGATGGACGGATGAACAGACAAACAGACAGACGGACGGACAGACTGGTCACTATAGGGCGTCCGCCATTCGGCAGGGCCCTAATAAGCATTGTGTATAAGTTTCATAACATTTGGTTGAGCCAAACTTAAGTTAGAGAACGGAAACGAAAAATTTAGCAATTTTTCCATTTGTAAAGGAGCATAACTCTAGAACGGTAAAAGTGACGCCACCAAAACTCAATCTTGATCTGTATTTAGTGGTAATAAGCATTGTGTATAAGTTTCATAACATTTGGTTGAGGCAAACTAAAGTTAGAGATGGGAAACCAACTTTGGGACGGACGGACGGACAGACAAGGGTAAAACTTAATGCCCCCTCCGCTACGGCGGGGGCATAAAAAACAAAAGTAGTATTACTTTTAGAAATAAGAAGATGTGGTATAATTGCCATCCAAGTCAAAATATTTAATTTTAGTTGAAATCAAACAAAGTTTAGTTTTTGACCCTCAAACATTAGCATGAACTAATTTGAAAACAGGGCCCAAAATAAAAAAATCAAAATGCACAATAAGATTCAGCATATCATACAGCCGCAATAATTCAGTTGTTGGTGAAATCAAACAAATATTAATTTTGGACTCTTTTGACCTAAATGTAGACCAATTTTGAAATGGGACTCAATATCGAAAAAAGTAATACAAGGTTAGAACCCCCAAACATTAAAGACTTAAAATTGATCCCATTGAAATTGATAAAAAGATTTGTATTTATTTTCAATTGAAGATTTCTTGCTATTGCAGAATACTGTACTATTGCGCAATACTGTGCAATTGAAGATTTCTTGCTATTGCACAAAACTTTGTTGTTGCGCAATACTGTGCTAATGGGCAACAGAAGATTTCTTGCTATTGTGCAATACTGTGCAATTGACAATGTTTAGTTTTTGACCCTCAAACATTAGCATGAACTAATTTGAAAACAGGGCCCAAAATAAAAAAAATCAAAATGCACAATAAGATTCAGCATATCATACAGCCGCAATAATTCAGTTGTTGGTGAAATCAAACAAATATTAATTTTGGACTCTTTTGACCTAAATGTAGACCAATTTTGAAATGGGACTCAATATCGAAAAAAGTAATACAAGGTTAGAACCCCCAAACATTAAAGACTTAAAATTGATCCCATTGAAATTGATAAAAAGATTTGTATCTATTTTCAATTGAAGATTTCTTGCTATTGCAGAATACTGTACTACTGCGCAATACTGTGCAATTGAAGATTTCTTGCTATTGCACAAAACTTTGTTGTTGCGCAATACTGTGCTAATGGGCAACAGAAGATTTCTTGCTATTGTGCAATACTGTGCAATTGAAGATTTCTTGTTATTGCCCAATACTGTGCTACTGTGCATTATACATGTACTGTGCTATTGCACAAAACTGTGCTATTATACAATACTGTGCTGTTGCGTAATACTGTGCTGTTGCGCAATACTGTGCTATTGCGAAGATTTCTTCTTGAAGCTTTCCAAAAATTTAAAATTTCAAAAATTTTGAAGAAAAAAATATGAACCTCCTCTCCAAAAAAAATCGGAAAAAAAGCCCCCAAATTTTTTGAACCCCCTCCCTTTGAGTAATTACCCCCTAAATTCAATCCCATCAAACCCTTTGTGGTATAGAACTTGTAGCACAATTTTTTTTAGAGAGATCCATACACTTAAACAAAACCTGAAAAATGCTTGTTTTTTGCCCTTTTTTCGCCCCATATTCCTGAACTTTTGGGGCAATTATCCCAGAACTCAATCCAAGCCTTTCCTTTGTGATATGTAACCTTGTGGTATAATTGTAGAGTGATCCATACACTTAAACACAAGTCCGGAAACAACAAAAATGCTTGTTTTTGGTCCTTAATTCCTAAACTGTTAATATCATAAACCCAAAAATCTATCCCAACCTTCCATTTGTGGTATTGAACTTTCTGGTAAAGTTTCATAGAGATCCATTCACTTAAACTAAAGTTATTTTCTGGAAATCAAATGTGTTATACGTACGAATTTTTTTGGGGCACTTTTATGAAAATAAGATGTGGCATGATTGTCAATAAGACAACTCTCCACCAGAGACCAAATGACCTAGATGGTAATCATACAGCCTTCAACAGTATCACAAAGCAAGCTATAAAAGGTCCCCAAATAAAAAATGAGAATAAACTGTTGACATAGAGATGTGTCTCGCCTGTCATCACAAAATTCAGAAAAAGACAATCTGATGGACAGCAACATTACTTATTAATTCAAAGTCTATGGACCTAGTGGACTGGGCATCAAAATGGTCGACAAACTGAGATGTACATACAGTAATGAAACTTTTTAGAAAATATTGTTGTCTATTGTAAGTAGTTACTATCAATTTAACTGAAGTAGATACTCCACATAGAAAATTAATAATTAATTCAAAGTCAATGGACCATGGTGATGCCCTTGGGGGCAGGACCTTAAAATATTTGTCAAACTGATATGTACTGATACATGTTTGTAGTTAGGAAACGACCATTTAACTTAAAGGGGGGTTATGTTTTTTCCTAAAAAAATATTCTGAATACAGATTTTCCCCATACCTTATAGCGTTAAATTTTGAAAACAATAATTTGATTGATAGCGTTGAAAAACTAAATATAAAGATGATGATTGGCTACTTAACGTCTAGCAGCAAATTAATATGCATTTTCATATTAATGTAATGTGAATATTAACACTGCTTTGTACTTGACCAAAAAGATGAGCTCGATTTTTAACATGCTAGTTCACAAGGTAACAGTCCACAAGATTTGTAGGTAGTTGAAGAATAATAAAGCCTTACGTGTGGGTTTATATGAACATCAAGATTGTTTTTTTTCGCATGATTTTAGGCCATTTTTCTGTTTGACAGTCTGTATTTCTCCAATAGATCAAGACATTATCGTAGTGTTTGACTCTCAAACTTTTCAGTTCAGTTTTATCATGTTTATCATGTGTTTATGGAAAAATTAGGTGAAATGCTTTTTTGAACCTCTTGATAGATAAATGTCTATAGTTTGAGACAAGGTACCACTCTAATGGATTGAAATTCTTCTTTGGACCAAATTTTGGGAACATTTTCACCCTTCTTTTATGCAATATTTTATAACAAATAAATGCAGAATATTTCCATGGTTACACCAAAAAGAGATTATATTTCACCATTTTAACTATTGAAATTTAGAATTTTTCAGTATACGGATATGGATAGTAAACTGCACATTGCTAGAAAACAAAGAAATATCGATGTCAACGTCATATACGTTAATAAAGTAATACAAATAGACAGGAAATACTAAAATAAATTTAAAAAACATTGATTAACAAAATTGTAATCTGCTCACCGAGTCCATGTGATATACACATGATATACATGTTTCCTAAAACTTGAAAATCGAAAGTCCATCAGGTGCAGCTAATAACCAAATCGGAAGTCCGAGCGAAAATATGACAGTTCCTGGACCTAGGAGAAAGGACCACCGCTAATTTGAACACCTGTCTTGACATGGGCAAAAAATATCTCCGGAATCTAAGGATGTAATTTTTATGAAAAGTAAGTGAGTTTTTATATGAAATTTATATCGTTTTCCTGACCTGATCCTCCAAAGTGAAAGTAGGTTATTCATCAAAGGTACCTTCTTCTTTTTTCACTTGGGGTTTGTGTGGATAGTAAAAAAGGTATTGTAATCGACTAGTAATGGTTTGTTGAGACTTGTTATATGTCTATACATTGTAGAAAATTGTAAATATAGAAAAAAATTCGTAAGGGCTCCGCCGAACCCAGTGTCTCGCCTACTTTTAGAGTTAATCGCAGGCTCAACAAAATTGAGGAAAAAAATTAATAAAAATATTCCTCACTATACTATCTTTTGATTGTAAGTAGCTTCTGTCCAAGTTTGGTAAAAATCCAGGATAATTTATGAATCTAATAAATGTTTTAAAAACTTAAACTGCAGAATGTATGTAATGTTGACTGGAAGAAAAACAAAGTCCATTTATAAGTAAAATATGGAACTAGAGGCTCTAAAGAGCCTGTGTCGCTCACCTTGGTATATGTGCATATTAAACAAAGGACAAAGATGGATTCATGACAAAATTGTGTTTTGGTGATGGTGATGTGTTTGTAGATCTTACTTTACTGAACATTCTTGCTGCTTACAATTATCTCTATCTATAATGAACTTGGCCCAGTAGTTACAGTGGAAAATATTTTGTAAAAATTTACAAAAATTTACAAAATTTATGAAAAAATTGTAAAAAATTGACTATAAAGGGCAATAACTGATTAAGGGGTCAATTGACAATTTTGGTCATGTTGACTTATTTGTAGATCTTACTTTGCTGAACATTATTGCTGTTTACAGTTTATCTCTATCTATAATAATATTCAAGATAATAACCAAAAGCTGCAAAATTTTCTTAAAATTACCAATTCAGGGGCAGCAACCCAACAACGTGCTGCCTGATTGGTCTGAAATTTTCAGGGCAGATAGATCTTGACCTGATAATCAGTTTTACCCTTTGTAAGATTACTCTAAATGCTTTGGTTTCAGAGATATAAGCCAAAATCTACATTTTACCCCTATGTTCTATTTTTAGCCATGTTGGCCATCTTGGTTCGCGAGCGGGGTCATCGGACACATTTTTTAAACTATATACCCTAATGACGATTGTGTAAAAGTTTGGTTAAATTTGTCTTAGTAGTTTCAGAGGAGAAGATTTTTGTAAAAGATTACAAAAATTTACGAAAAATGGTTAAAAATTGACTATAAAGGGCAATAACTCCTTAAGGGGTCAACTGACCATTTTGGTCAAGTTGACTTAATTGTAGATCTTACTCTGCTGAACATTATTGCTGTTTACAGTTTATCTCTATCTATAATAATATTCAAGATAATAACCAAAAACGACAAAATTTCCTTAAAATTACCAATTCAGGGGCAGCAACCCAACAACGGGTTGTCAGATTCATCTGAAAATTTCAGGGCAGATAGATCTTGACCTGATAAACAATTTTACCCCATGTCAGATTTGCTTTAAATGCTTTGGTTTCAGAGATATAAGCCAAAATCTACATTTTACCCCTATGTTCTATTTTTAGCCATGGCGGCCATCTTGGTTGGTTGACCGCATCACCGGACACATTTTTGAAACTAGATACCCCAATGATGATTGTGACCAAGTTTGGTTAAATTTGACCCAGTAGTTTCAGAGGAGAAGATTTTTGTAAAAGTTAACAGACGACGCTGGACGACGACGACGACGGACGCAAAGTGATGAGAAAAGCTCACTTGGCCGTTCGGGCAAGGTGAGCTAAAAAATTGAACAAAATTTTATCAAAATTTCCTTCTAGATACTAGCTTTTGATCATAAACAAGCTTCTGTCCAAGTGTGGTACAAATCCAGGATAGTTTAAGAAAGTTGTTAAAATTTTAAAAACTTTAACCACAGAGTGAATGTAATGTTAACTGGCAGAAAAACTAAGTCCATTTATAAGTAAAATACGGAAAAAATGGAATTTTTTTTTTACAAAATTTACTTCTGGATACTATCTTATGATCATAAACAAGATTCTTTCCAAGTTTGGTAGAAATCCAGGATAGTTTAAGAAAGTTATTAAAATTTCAAAAACTTTAACCACAGAGTGAATGTAATGTTTCCTGGCAGAAAAACTAAGTCCACTTATAAGTAAAATTCGGAAAAAATGGAATTTATTTTTTACAAAATTTACTTTTGAATATAATCTTATGATCATAAACAAGCTTCTGTCCAAGTTTGGTAGAAATCCAGGATAGTTTAAGAAAGTTATTAAAATTTCAAAAACTTTAACCACAGAGTGAATATTTGTGGACGCCGCCGACGACAACGACGCCGACGGAATGTAGGATCGCTATGTCTCGCTTTCTCGACAAAAGTCGAAGGATCGACAAAAACAAGACTTTTTTTTTACAGTGGGGCCCAAAAAAGGGGGGTCCAAAATAGCTGTGTTTTTAATAATATAAATAAAATGCTCTGCTGGGCGCAGCTTGATACAACCGCAGAGGTCGAACCCTGAACAGTGGGGGCAAGTATGGACATAACATTCAAGCTTGATACAGCTCTGAATTTGGATTGTGATTAAATATTTGACACAGCATAGGTTTCTGACACAGAATGAATGTGGTCGAAGAACTTAAATTTTTTTAATTTACCTATTATGGTCCAATATCCAAAATCTAAATACATACACGGTTATATTCAGCATATCAAAGAACCCCAAGAATTCAATTTTTGTTAAAATCAAACTAAGTTTTATTTTGGACCCTTTGGACCTTAATGTAGACCAATTTGAAAACAGGACCAAAAATTAAGAATCTAAATGCACGGTTAGATTCAGCATATCAAAGAACCCCAATATTTCACTTTTTGATGAAATCAAACCATATCATTATTATTTGCTCTTATAAACATGATATATAAATCAAAAATAACCAACTTAAAATGGAAAATAATTATTTGATTGATAGCGTCGAAAAAACAAATAAAAATATTCGCGCTTCGTGCGAAAAAAACCCATAAAAACATAACTTATCTTTCTGGATATTTACACCTTATATAGCCTTTAGGGTCACTAACCATACTTTCGTACGTCGAACAGCTCCACCACCAAAAATATACAACACAAAGAAAATTATAATTCACAACAAAAGATATATATATATATATATATATATATATATAAATAAGTAGCACACATGTAGTTAGTGATGATGAAACGGAGCCAAATATGGAGCTGCGTTTTGAAACACTTGGGTAGACTTTACATTGGGATGACGTTTCAAGTTGTTAGTTCAGCGACAACTATTTAATTTTTATAAATAGTTTTTGCTCAACTAACAACTTGAAACATAAATATATAAATATATAAATAATAAATATAAGGGGAAGTGGTATGATCGATTGCTAATACACCTTATCATGCTTATCGCTATTTGTCCGCCATTACTGGACATTACACAGGTTCCCGTAAAATTTTGACGTCATAATACAAAATATCTGACGCCACAATGGAAAAGTGATTGTTGTATGACATCAATAGTTCAAGCGGGACAGATTCTCGGGTCAGCCGTGAATAGCGATAAGGTGTATGAGACAACCATCCACCAAAGTTGAAATGACGTGGTAGAAGAAATTAAAGGTACCGTACGACCTTCAATAATGAGAAATACCCTACCGTTAACGGTATAGTCGGAAAAATGGGAAACAATTCAATTGAGAAAACTAACAACCTTAATTCATAACGTCTATTTTAAACTTATTACTACGTGAAATACTCGTGTACAAGTATGCAAATAAAGTTATGAAAACAAATGAGAAATGACTCGATTTTAATCTTAAGAAAGATGTTGGACAGATGTTACTGGTTCTGTATTTCTATTCCATATATGATTTAAAGGAGTTTGTGTTGCCTGAATAAGAAATATTTACTATCTTTCAGCACTAATAACCAAAAAATATGAAAGTGAAAGTGAAAAATGAACTTAAATTCTATATATATCTATTATATGATGTTACGTACAGCAATCACATTTCGACCTTTTTCTGTCATTAAGTTCGTCACGGAAATCTTCTCTTGGCTCGATTTGTCTTTTTCTTCCTTTGGGTTTTGCTAAATCTACGCCAGCCATTTGTAATTCTAATGCAATTAGTTTGTATCAGTGGTTCTGATTGGATGTCAGTAAGCGTACAATTCTCTATCTCCTTGTCTGTAACTAAGGAAGCCGGCATTTTGTATTGAATGTATTGACATGCAATTTTTACAATGATAAGCAAAAAAACTCACATGTTGCACCTAGAAATCTTCTTCTTACCAAATTTAATTACATTCTGAAGCGGCCAAGAAGCCAGAAAACGCCCGGTGTTTACGTTTGACGCCGGAAGCATACCTATGACGTCACATAGTTTAGGGGCCAAAGAAGATAACATCGTTTCGCGGAATTTTCTTTAATGAGAATTTTACACTGAGAAAAAGATTGAAAATGAATAGACCACTTGCACATTAAGTGGCGTTTCGCTTTCAAATCTGCAAAATATATCGACCGTAAATAGGTGGGGCAAAATACGTCACAGTTTTTGCTTGCTTACCATAGCGATTCCGCAAAACAAATTGTTTCATTCTACTTTTCTATTACAATCACGATGTTATCTTTTAAATCATTGACAATTTCAAAGATTCAGCTGTATTTACGAGATAGAGGAATAGTGGCAAATGGTTATAAACAGAGAGATTTGGCCAGTTTAGCTGAGGCGGTGGAAAATTGAAGATTCCGTATGATCCCAATTTTCTAGCAGACGACGTCGACTCTACCCTACAAGATCGCCTGAGAAGAGCCGGTTGTAGTTTTTCAGACCCGTTTACCTTAGAAGGGTAATTAAGATAATTTTCCATTCATTTCTATGGCTTTTACCCTCCTCTGCATACTTATTTAAACCGGTTTTTGACCGTTTTTTACTAAGGGGGTCCCAACGCGTGGCTATCCACGTAGAATATGTATCCTACCGTAGTCTATAATCGGTCATAACGTTGGTTCGTTCGGATTTTGTTATTGTACTTATCATACGGGAAAACTCCGCATTGACGTCACTACGCTAATACCAGCGTATAAAATTAGTGCAGAATACATTTTTTCTACACTTCTAAATAAAATAATATTTCTAAAGATATGTTTTCATTATTATTCTTAAGTATTGTACAAAAATGCAGATTTTCTAATGGCCATTTCAAACCTGACTTCCGAATGCCTAAAAGCATTTCAGAACTTAAGAAAACCCCTCTTCCCGCCTCCATTGCTTTGTTTACATTCCATTGAGCGTCATCAATCTTAATGGCAAACCAAACAGGCCAAGCAAATCGTATTTTTAAGAATTTCAAAATGGCAAGCACCTTACGTCTTCCGCGATTTTCCCGCGAAAAAAAACCATCCAAATTGAAAGAAAAACTTTGGGAAACAAACGATAATCATGCCATGTTTTTGTTCAGGAATATAGAGTAGGTTAAGAAAAAACAATATACATATATTTTTCATAAAAAAAAAATTTGGTTTAGTATAAAGAGATCGATATTCTGACCAAAAGTAAATATTCTTATAAATTTCCATTGATGTAAACTTTCATGGCTAATAATGAGTTTTCCTATTGAATAATCTCCCAATTTATTGCAAACTATTTCAAAGCAATATCATACAGACAAATAATATAATTGCCTTGTACTAAAAAATCACCTAATTGACAGTAGAGCAATTTGATTGGATATAACAATTCAATGTGTCACGTGGTTTTGAAGCCATTAGAATTTGAATGTAAACAAACCGGGTCAGCTGCTCCCGTATGGAACAACATCGTACATTCAGTGACTGAGAAACAATTATGAGTAACCAAGCTTGACAATACACAGTAATAAAAAAACAAAACTAAGTCTAAGAATAATAAAGTAAAAAATGGCCTTAAGTGCACGACTTACCACCATTGCGGGATATGCCCATACTAAACTTGCCATAAAGTTAACCAAAATTCGTATCTTTACCTAACTTATAATTTTTATTAGATCCCTTGTCGTTTGAATGAGTTATACAGTCAAAATAAGTCAGAAAGTCATATTTTCGGCCTTCTTTTAATTTACGGGCTCCCAACCTATATAAAAATATGCTCAACTAAACTTTACCCAAACCCATACCTTACCCTGACAGTAGCTCTAAATATAAAACCTTACTTTAACCTAGAACATCACATATATGCTAACAATTTTGACCATAAATGAACCCTAGACCTTAAGTTTTTTTTCATGATTTACCTAACCCATAACCTGAACATTACACGGTCTTCCCTAGAAGCCAACCCTTAGAACCTAGTTTCAACCCTAACACAAAAGTTAAAAGTACCAATAACCACTGAAAATAGGTTAAACCTAATCCTTACACACAGGGCCATGTACCCTAACCATATATAGCATAGCACCAGTCCCATCTTTAAAACCTAACCCTTACATTACCAAACCATACATAGCACATATGTTAGTCACATCCCTTAAACTTAACCCTTACCTAACCCAACCATAACACAACTTGTGCCACAAGTCCAACTTTACCATACATGCCATATCACTAGTCCCATCCATAAAACCAACCTCTGTCTTAACCTTAAAACCTAGTTGTAACCCTAACCATAAATAAACCATATATTACCCTAAAGTACTGGGATCCCTAAAGTAAAAGAAGAGTCATTCTTCCTTACCTGTGTGTCTGAAGCCAATTACTAAAATATATTTTTCTAGCAGTATAATGAAATAATTTTTAAAACTCATATTATTTCAGCATTTTTTCAAAAATATGATTATCCATGTCAGTCCAAAACAATTTTATTAAGGGAGCTACGATTTCACTTTGGGTGGGTGGGGGGCTAGGCTAGGATGAAATTGAAAAAAAAATAGGCATGACAGAAGTTTTGAGTAAAAAAAAGGCGGGTTGAGGCACTTTGCCAAAAAAAAAAGGCAGGATATGACAATTCATGTAAAAAAAGTCAGGATAAACTAATAAAAAAAAAAGGCAGGACCGTATAGAGTGAAAAATAAAAAAGCAGGACAGAGATTACAATTTAAAAAAAATGCAGGACAAAATTTTTCACCCTTAACTATCAAATAGCTCCCTAAGAAGAAACAACCCTACATGTATGCAAACTTCTAAATATTGAAAACTTTTAAGACTTTAAACTTTTTAAAAAATAATAATATAACAATAACTGTTCAATTTTCTATAAACTTTTTCCATTAGAAGTAAATAGACTCAGTTCAAAAGAATATCCATTAATAGCAATTTTACATTATAATTAAAGGGATAGCCCATGGCTCCTAAAATTTAGTCGTTCAAAACATGTAGCTATTACATTTTTTTTATACAATTTTACTTGATCGATAATATACCACATTCTTTAATATAAATATTAACTGCCAAAAACTTAAGAATTTTAGGGTTTAATGAAATAAAGTCATTGTATGAGTAAACTCTTGAATTGCAAGAATTAAGCGGATATTATCACAATTATCATAATTTTTCCACATTGATTTTCTTTTTATTTCAAGTCCAACAAATTTATGTTAGTATATAGATTAAGATATACTTAACATTTTTTTGTACATGTACTATAATATATCATTAAACATCTATTTAGAAAATACTTTATGCATTTTCAGGTCCTTTAATATTGTACAAGTATATATAACTTTCAACTGTCTAGTATATATAACTTTCAACTGTCTGAACTGCATGTACTGGCGAGGGCTCATATTCCCAATCAGTATTTTTCACCTTACTATTATACATGTCTTACTAGAATAATCTGTGAATTTCATACCAGCAATGTATTCTGCAGTGTTAATTTGAAATCCTTTTATTTTTCAGATATGTTGAAGATTTTTCTGGTGTACCGGACTTTTCCTTGTATGACATTTTCAATTATTTGTTGTTGCACCGTTCAGATTACGATAAAAAGAAGTTGAAAGCTTATAAGAGTGCAGAGGACTACCGCTTGTTTTACGATGGACATGTCCAGGAAATGAAAGTCAACTACTTAAAAGATGACAGCTCAGTTTGTGTTTTTATAGGAAAGGTGAGGCCAACACAGAGGGCAAAGACGTTGACTGGGAAGATGACCTACCAGTGCTGGTTTGTTGTTGAGAAGACTCTAGGTGATGTTAAAGCAGCTTACTGTGAATGTCCAGGAGGGTAAATATAAAAATATTATATTTGACAAATTCTCGACCCACTCTAGTTTCTATTGTAATATAAAAATAAGAAGATGTGGTATGATTTCCAATGAAACAACTCCCCACAAGTGACAAAATGACAGGGAAAGTAACATCTATAGATAACCATACAATCTTCAACAATGAGAAAAACCCATAGGGAATAGTCAGCTATAAAAATTTTGAAATGACAAATGTAAAACAATCCAAAATAAAATGCTCCGCAGGGCGCAGCTTGATACCACCGCAGAGGTCGAACCCTGAACAGTTGGGGCAAGTATGGACACGACATTCAAGCTTGATACAGCTCTGAATTTGGATTGTGATTAAATATTTGACACAGCATAGGTTTCTGACACAGAATGAATGTGGTCTAAGAACTTAAACATTTTAAATTGGACATTCACCTATTATGGTCCAATATCCAAAATCTAAATACATGGTTAGATTCAGCATATCAAAGAACCCAAAGAATTCAATTTTTGATGAAATCAAACAAAGTTTAATTTTGGGCCCTTTTGACCTCAATGTGGACAAAGTTGATAACGGGGCCCAAAAATCAAAAATCTAAATACATGGTTAGATTCAGCATATCAAAGAACCCCATATATTCAATTTTTGTTGAAATCAAACACAGTTTAATTTTGGACCCCGATTTGGACCAACTTGAAAACTGGGCCCATAATCAAAAATCTAAATACATGTTTAGATTCAGCATATCAAAGAACCCTAAGAATTCAATTTTTGTTAAAATCAAACTTTTTTGACCCTTTGGACCTTAATGTAGACCAATTTGAAAACGGAACCAAAAATTAAGAATCTAAATACACGGTTAGATTCGGCATATCAAAGAACCCAAATAATTAAATTTTTGATGAAATCAAACAAAGTTTAATTTTGGACCCTTTGGACCTCAATGTGGACCAATTTAAAAACGGGGCCCAAAATCCAAAAACTTAATACACGGTTAGATTCAGCTAATAAAGAACCCCAAGAATTCAAGAATAAAACCCCATTGAAATTGGTCAAGAAATAAGCAATTTATACGAAGTATCTTCTTTTGCACAATACTGTGCAATTGAATATTTCTTGCTATTGCGCAATACTGCACAATTGACAATTTCTTGCTATTGCGCAATATTGTGCTATTGGATATTTCTTGCTATTGCGCAATACTGTGCAATTGAAGATTTCTTGCTATTGCGCAATACTGTGCAATTGAAGATTTCTTGCTATTGTGCAATACTGTGCAATTGAAAATTTCTTGCTATTGCACAATGCTTATTATATAATAATTTACACATCCTGTTTGGTGTGTATCTCCTACCATATCATTATTATTTGCTTTTAAATAAAAATCAGAAATAACCAACTTAAAATGGAAAATTTTAAAAGAAAAAAAAAAGAAAAAAAAGAAAAAAAAAGGAAAAAAAAAAAAGTCCCCCCCCCCACCCAAATTGTTTGAACCCCCTTATAATTCATCACCCCCAAACTCAATCCCAGCCTTCCCTTTGTGGTATGGTACCTTGCAGTACAATTTCAGAGAGATGCATACACTTGAACTCAAGTTATTGTCTGGAAACTAGAAAAATGTGTTTTTTGGCCCCTTTTTGGCCCCCAATTCCTAAACGTTTCGGGCAATTACCCCCAAACTCAATTCCAGCTTTCCCTTTGTGATACGGAACCTTGTAGTACAATTTCAGAAATATGCAACACCTACACACAAGTTTTTGTCATGGAACTAGAAAAATGCTTTTTTTGCCCCTTTTTTGCCCCCTAATTCCTAAAATTTTGAGGCAATTACATCCAAAATCAATCCCAGCATTCCCTGTGTGATATGGAACGTTGTGGTACAATTTCACAGAGATCCATACACTTGAACACAAGTTATTCTCTGGAAACTAGAAAAATGCTTATTTTTGGCCCCTTATTACTAAACATTTTAGGCAATTACCCCCAAATTCAATTCCAGCTTTTCCTTTGTGATATGGAACCTTGTAGTACAATTTCAGGAAGATCCATACACCAACACACAAGTTATCGTCAAGAAACTAGAAAAATGCTTGTTTTTTGCCCCTAATTCCTAAATTTTTGAGGCAATTACCCCCAAAATTAATCCCAGCATTCCCTTTGTGATATGGAACCTTGTGGTACAAAATCAGAGAGATCCATACACTAACACACAAGTTATGTCTGGAAGTTACAAAAATGCTTATTTTTGGCCCCTTATTTCTTTAAAGGTTGGTACCATAACCCCGAAAATCAATCCCAACCTTCCTTTTGTGGTATTGAACCTCATGGTAAAATTTCATAGAGATCCATTCACTTAAACTAAAGTTAGAGTGCGAAAACCAATGTGTCTTCGGACGACGACGCCAACGTCATACCAATATACGACCGCAAAAATTTTTGCGGTCGTATAAAAAAAGCTAATGGTCTGATTTATGTACAAAATAGTGAAAGAAAAACAAATATGAAATATTTCAACAAACAATGACCCTTTTATTACAGATTCCTGACTTGGGACATGCACATACACAATGTGGTGGGGTTAAACTAGTTTGTAAGTACATTTGTATGACAACCTCAAGTGCAGGGTGATGAGGTATAAATAATTCATTGCTATTAAAGTCAAAACTCAAGGTTGGTTTTCTAGCTTCTGTGTCCAGTATTTGGCAGGTAGAAGTTAACAATTCTGCTGATGTAATTTGATGACTTGCAATCTAAAACGCTCATGTTTAGTAAACCGTTTTTAAGATATTAGTATTATACAGATCATTTCACAAATGAACATGTATGCATGTACTAACTTTCTCTAAATACAATTTTATTGCAGTGCTGATGGAGCTTGTCGTCATGTTGCAGCATGCTTATACGAGTTGGAGGCATTTGAGAAGAAGTCTGTTACTGACGGTCCTTGCCAGTGGAAGAAACGAAAGAGGGAACACGATGAGCCAGTAGAGGTGGAACGAATGAAGATTATCAAGCCAAGGTTTTAACTTAATCATTTTTTATCTTTAGCACTGGTAAAATGAAAAAATTAATAAAAATATTCTAGATTTCCTCATATATTACAGTATTTAGTATATATATATAGAATATTCCTCATATATTACAGTATTTAGTATATATATATAGAATAATACATGGCAAAATCCGTATCGCATGCTGTATCACCACCAGAAACCAATATCAGTCCCGAGGGCTGATATTGGTCAAGTGGTGATACAGCATGCGATACGGATTTTGTCATGTATTATTCTGTTTATCATATATTTAAATAGAATCAGATTAATGTCATATATGTTTTTTTTTAAATCGTCCGAAAATATAACAAACAAAAGAACATAAGGATTTTCCTGTATTTTTCCAGGTGACTTAGTTTTTTGTAATAGACTTCCTTATTTGCTTAATATCCACATCGTAATGTCCCCTACAACCTTATTACATGCTCAATATAGAGCTATGAAACTGGCAAATAATATACTTTAAGACCATGTATTTAAACGCATTCACTAACAATAGTGTCAACTGTTCCCTCTTGTAGAATACAACCCACCTTCTCAATATTTGTTGTTAAATTTAATCATTATACTACAATCTGAACTCATTTGTATACATAAATATGGACAACAATGTTGCCACTTATCACATATTCAAAGATTATTAACAGACAAACAGGGGATTCCAATATACACAGTCATTGGACAAAAGTGAGTTCCCACTAAAAAAAACTTATTGTATCTATTTTATAAAAATCGCTTATAAAGTTCTACTGGGTAATATTTTTTTTGAAAAATATAGATTTGAGTTGAAATGATATGACATTTCTTTAGTGGGAACTCACTTTTTTCCTATGCCAGGAAATACAGCAACTGGACGTCATAGGTCAAACGTTGACATCATTTGATTTATGACGTCACGCCAGGTATGTGATACGGATTTAGCTATGCGATACAGGTTTAGCTATGCGATACGGGGTATGCGATACAGACTGAAAAAAAAGAACCTTTATTAGATATACAAAATTGCTATATTTTGTACTAAATATATGATAAATACATGTATATCATATATATATGTTACACACAGATCGACATCTGGCCTCGAATCTAAAAAAAAACCATTTCAATGCATATTTTTTTTATATATTTATTAGGAATAAGTTATTTTAATAAGAACTTTGTTTTCATTTTTCTTGTCGCTAAATAGTCTTCTTGTCGCTAAAATATTCTTCTTGTCGCTTCTTGAAGTTTCTTTCGCTACTGAAAACCTTGAAATCCTAAATACATACAATGCCAACATTTTATGCTTTACCAATAAATACATTTAAATATTGTAATATCCCAAAATAGGAGGATGGAAGCATGTGTATCATCAGCAGACCATGTAGTATCCAGTTTTGATCCTAGACAGATGGTTGACAGAGCTGCAGAAGACGAGAAGATAAAACAGTTTGCAAGTAAATTAGCACAGGTATAACAACAAATAATTTAACAACACGCCCACCGGTTTTATTGGTGGATACACTATACATTCAAGTACAGCGCCCTCTAGCGACTCCTCTTGAGGTTTGAAATCATATTGTACAGATATCTTTATTGTATTTAATTTTTAAACCTCAAAATGAAGTCTTGAGCAGAACTCGTGTCCATTACAAATAGGTATCATGGTGCTTACACATGGTGCATAGTTATAACATACACCAACCATTCTTGTAAAGTTAAAGGACTGACAAAATTGGACAGTAACATTTACAAATTCAAAAATATTAACAGCAAAAAATTAATCAAAATAATTATTTTTGTGCCAGACATTTTTGTAACAATATAACACACTTGAATACTTAAATACTACTCATATTATAATTAATTTTTATTAACAGTGAAAGCTTTATTTAATACTGCATTAGTGTTCTTAAATGTTCAATGCAATATCAGTATTTTAAAAAAATTTTGCACTGCAGCACATATATATATATTTATTTCTTATGCAGCAAAAATACTGCAATCTGATTGGCTAATTACCCCGGTGTAAATAACACCCCACCTTGTTCACCCAAGGATAAATAAAATTTTGCCAAAAAATTTTAAAAAATGAAGTTTTGCCAAAATAAAGAAAAAAAAATATAAAATGTAAAAAAAAAAAAAAATAAATAAATAAATGTGAGGACAAAAATTGAAAATAAAAAATTATTTAAATTTTTTTTTTCCAAAAAATTCAAAAGAACATAAAAAATTTCTAAATTTCCCAAAAATAAAGAAAAAATATATTTGACAATGCGCAGCAACATCGACGTTGAAAAAATGTTACACCGGAAATTTTTCATTACCACTTTTCAGTTTTACATCCTTGTTTAAAAATTAGTAAAGGAATTGTTCATAAGAAATAAATTCGTTATCTTGGTGTAATCAGGGGTGTACGGAATTTTACACCGTTGTTGAAAATTCATTCACCCATTCGGCTGCGCCTCAGGGTGTATGAATTTTCAACAACGGTGTAAAATTCTGTACACCCCTGATTACACCAAGATAACTAATAATATGCACCATGTGTAACCTTTTTAATTTACGACTTTAAAAAAATTAATTCTTATTTCTAAAAAAGTTAGTATAGAAAAGGTAACAGTTTAGTTTGTGAAATTTATGCTTTGAATTTTTTTCAAGTTTATCATTGACAGGATTTTGCAATCAATTCAGCAATTTCAAAACTAATTTAAAAGGTTTTTAAGACAGTTTATAAAAAAATGAAGTTCTGCTCCTGACTTTAACAAAACACCACAAAGCCAGTAAAGGTAAAATTTAAAATTATAAACAAAAAACAAAAATATCAACAAATTCATTTTTTATTACTTACCAACTCTGAAAAAAAAATAGCATTAGTAAGAACACACCCTTAAACATTGTATAAATTTTTCATATTTAATTTCCTTTTTTAAATTTTTCACAACTTACTTTTAAGAAAATACATCATATATAGAATTCATTAAAATGTCGAATTCACATAAAAATTATACATTATATCTTGTACCATTGTCCAGCAGATTCTCAGTTAATATTTTTCTTCAAATTCTTAAATCAACAATGTTATTTTTTTCCTGTAAAATATATAATTAATGCTTTGGTTAATTCAAGTGATTTTTTAAATAGATAAATCCCGAGGCCAGAGCACTAGAATTTCTACCCCATGAACCAGTAGATGTGGTACAGATGGACTATTCAGAGGCAATACAGGACTTAACAATTCCTACTAAGGCTAAGTATTTTAAAGATAAGTATGTATGTTTAATTGATAATGAAGAGGACATAGTTGAAAATTTTATGGCTACCTTATCATTCAGTTCAGATGATGTGATGCTTATATCAAAGGCAACTCAGGGCCAGAGTAGCAACAATTTATGGTTCACTATGAGGAAAGGTTTAATTACTGCTTCTAACGTTCAGGCTATAATGAATAATGAGGACCCAGATCTTATTTGCAGCCGAATTATAGGTAGTGAATCAGTTTCTGTAAAGAATAAATTCCAAGAAATGGCCTTAGACTGGGGTAGACGCAAGGAATCAAAAGCCAGGAACCTATACCAAACAGCTCATGGATTGAAAAGGAATAAATGTATAACTGAAACTGGTTTGGTGGTAAATCCGAAGTATCCATGTATAGGTTGTAGTCCAGATGGAGTGATCAC